ATCTTTACACCTTTCTAACAACAAAATCTACCTTCTGAAGAATGCTAACGGGCTTTAGGTTCATAGCTTTCACAGTAAGAATATTAAGCTAGAATTTATAACATTGTTTTCCTTTCGCTGCATTTATTTATTTTTTTTATTTTATTTTTTTTGTCTTTTGTCTTTTTTCCGAGTCCGGCAACGGATCGCAACCCTCAGTGTTGCCCCGTACCGGACCGGGGACCGGCAACGGGATCGCAAGCCTCAGTGTTGCTCCCGCGCCTTGCTCAGCCAAGTGAGCGGGAGCCGGTCGCTATGTGGGATCCGAACCCTCGGACGGGAGCGCCACCGCGCTTCCCAAGCGGCGCACTATCCAGTGCGCCACCGGGCCGGCCCATCGCTGCATTTATTTTTATAGATTCCTTCTATGTATGCAAATGATACCTGTTCTCTATTACGGAAATGATATAGTTTCTTTTAAAAATAAGTTCAGGAAAAAAATTAGTTTGTATCTTAATGTCTGAAATTGGGGAAAACAAAACTATGGCATTTACAGAATGCACAGAACAAATGGATTATATAGACTCCAAATGTCAAAGAAAATAAACTGCTGATTTTCCTGAGGCCCTATTATGACTGGTGTTACTGGCCCAAGGAATAAATAAAAATTGAGAGGAATTCAGTGAGAAAATCCCTGTGCTTGCCTATATATGCAATGGTAGAATGAACAAAGATAGAGAAAATGCAGACAGTATACGGAAATGATGATCACGAGTGGAAATCAAGAGGACAACTGCATGTAAGTGAAGTATTACGAAGTATAGTACATCAAGGGATGTTCAACCACTGGGTTACGGGGCCAACAAGAATAGTCCTTATATTAAATAATACAGATATTTTGGTTCTCAAGATAGGACTATTTCATAAAAGAAAACACGACATAACATTCGACAGTTCAAACTGGTACATTTCTGCACCTACCCTGGCACTATAATTTAAAAATAAAACCTTAAATATAGAAGTTATTAGGCATTCGACTTCATTTTGACATTACAACATGTTAATTAGAATCTTTCCAAAAAGTAACAAGTCTATTTTCTCATTTTGTAAAAATACCATAGGATGAAATTCTGCACAGAATTTTTTTCTAAGAAGATATCTCTTTCCCCACCCTCTCTTAATAAGGAGTTGAGGGCAGAATATCTTAATCTATTCTTAAGTAAAAAGTTACTCTCAAAATTTTATGGGGGAAGGAGGAAAAACCAGAATCATTGTTTTAATTATCTGAAAATAAAGCAGAGGAGCACACACATTTAGGGCTCCTACTAATGTCAGGCACCATACAACCCAGAAGTGCCCTTCACACTGCCAGAATATATTCTCTTAGTTACTTTAAAATTGATACAACTATTATAATTTCTCATAGATGGTAGTGTGTGTGTGAACAAGACAACAGCTGCTTCATTTCTACATTCTTGATGATTTTGAGAATCCACTCATACCAAAGTCAATGTTTTCCTGGGGAAGTTACTCATAACTCCCCAAATAGAAGAATAATTTGATTAAATGAATTAAGACAACATAGCAAATTAACTTCAGAATTAAAAAGAAACTTGATGTCAAAATGTTTAAAGAAATTTAAATTGAACATAAATAACTGCTGTAGGACACAATAAATATATATAAACTGAGATAGAAACCAATTTAGGGGAAGAATAAGTCATTTGATATTATGGCTACGTTTTCCCAAACAGCAACAATTTAAACCTTAAAAATGGATAATAAATACAGTTATAGCTACCTATGTATAAATACTTACTATTAGTGCAAATAATATTTACCTTGCTGGTTATTTTTTGCTCTGTTAACTTCTTACTTACATCATCATTCTGTTGTGCCTCCTGCATGACAAACTCTCGTACCATGGATGGATTATATTCAACCAAGTATGAGAATATATCAGTAGCAGCACTTCGCACCTGTGTATCATCCATGCCCTGCAGATGAAAAGCGCTTACAGCTTATGTGAATAAGAAGACATTGCAATATAAAAGGTCAAAGAAATTCTGCATGTAAAATTCTTGTTCTATGGATAATATTATATTTTCTAAATCACTTATTCCTGGTTTGCCTTTCTATTTTAACATTTCATCTAATAGGCTGCAAAGTTAAGAAATTTTTATTAAAAATATGGAAAACTCCTCTGAGCATTCTTTCAATACTGTGTGAGGACTCTTAATAATGAGATTTTATATCTTCTTTAACTTTATGTAATACACAGCTAATATTAATATTGGCTATAATCAAATACTTGCATGTTACACTTTAAAAAATTACTTTTGTGGTTTGAAAAAAATAATGGTAATTAAAAATGAGGAGAAACAAACTTACAAGGATGACTTCCAAAGCTGGTAATATGCCCATGTTTGACAAAGTCTTAAAAAAAGCATCTCTGTTTTGAGGTTGTAGCGTTTGTGAAAACGCACAAAATTCTTTTAAAAAGTTAACCTGAAATTAGAAAAATAGATAAGTGAAGATAAGAGGTTTGTTATTTTATCTTTATGCCTTTCACGATATGTAATTTCTTACCAATTCCTGTCTTTTTTCTTCATCTGTTGCTTCATCTGTTAGTTGTGCAAACAAATCTGTCAGGAATTTTTCATCTTCCTATGAAATAAAGAACAAATTTAATTATGTTAATAACCAGTGTACTAAAATATAATGTCAGAATGCTATAATATGAGATATAAATTGAAATAACTGGAAAAAGGAAAGATGGTAGTGGCAATGCTGTTCTTTGAGAGGAAAAACTAAACTATTAAAGGATTAACTGGAGATTCACAATAGAAAGATTATTCTTATATTTTGGCAAGGCGCTATTTCCTAGGCCTATTTAAGGGCCAGAAAGTAAATATTTTTGGCTTTGTGGGCCATATGGTCTCTACTACAACTACTCAACTCTGCTGTTGCAGTACGAAAGCAGTCACAGACAATATGTAAATGAATGAGTGTGGCTGTGTTTCAATAAAACTTTACTTAAAAAAACAGGCATGGGCCAGTTTGTCAACCCCTCATTTTTACAGGGTTTTAACCTTCAGAATTTAAGGTTCTTCAACCTCTCAAATGTAGATGAAAATGAAGATAAAACTTCCTTCATGTTTTAAAAATACAAAAATGACAATTATTTAAAAAGCTCAATTCAGAGCTTTTTTTTTTTTTTTTCTGTCTTTTGTCTTTTTCCGTGTCCGGCAACAGATCGCAACCCTCAGTGCTGCCCCCGCGCCTCGCTCAGCCAGCAAGCGGGAACCGGTCTGTATGCGGGATCCGAACCCTCGGGCGGGAGCGCCGCCGCGCGCTTCCCAAGCGGCGCACTATCCAGTGTGCCACCAGGCCGGCTGAATTCAGAGCTTTTAAAGAAACGTATTATTTGAAACATTGTCTATATGTCCATGTACACATACACAATAATTTAATATACATTAAACTATTTTGAAAAGGATTTCAAAGGATACCTTCAAAGGGTATTAATATCAGTCAGATAAGTATAAACATCAAAAAGAACCTCAAATATTATCTTATCCTACATCCTTATTTAATAATCGAGACAAGGATTAAGAAATTTACCCAAGCCCAACCAATTAGCAGGTGGTAGAGCCTTCCTGATTACCTTTTCAATTTTTCTCACGACTGTTTTTCATCAAAATTTTGTTGTATTTTAATTTCATACTACTTCAGCTAGTAGAAGTAGACTCAACACTACTCCAGTCCTAGACATACCTAAGTCTAAATACACAAACAAACACATGTAAACACAAGTGTGAATGCAACTTCCCACTAGATTATAAGGTCCATATTCACTGTTATAGGTGCCCGGGAAACATTTTCTCTGTAGTACTAAATTACTTTGATTACTTCCACCTTTACTTTTTCTAAAATGCACAAATAGGCCATAACTCATTATACATGTTGATCATGTTTGTTACCAAATGGCATCCAATTTCAAGGTACATCCCAGATATAATATATTCCACCAACTGGAAATCAAATGGTTAAAAAAGAAATTCTCTAAACTGCTGCAGTTGGGGGATACAGAAGTAGAGAATAAGAATGTTTGGGGCCGAGCCCGTGGCGCACTCGGGAGAGCGTGGTGCCGGGAGCGCAGCGACGCTCCCGCCGCGGGTTGGGATCCTATATAGGAATGGCCGGTGCGCTCACTGGCTGAGCGTGGTGTGGGTGACACTACACCAAGGGTTGCAATCCCCTTACCAGTCACGGAAAAAAAAAAGAATGTTTGGTTAAGGGGAGCGTGTAACTGTGTATAAGTGTGTGTATACACAGGGTGAGTGGGAACCTGCTTTAAAACTGTACCTTAAACACTCTTTGCTAAAAAATGTGTAAAGTGTTTCTGCCTTCATAGCAGCACTTTGGATATAAGTGCCAAGTATCAAGAGAAAAAGAACTATAGCACTGTCAGCCAGCATTTTACAAAGCATATTGTAGGGAAACAAAGACTTTACTTGAAATTATTCATACTTAATGAGTAAAACTGGCCTTTTAAACAAACGGATGAAGACCAAGAAAACACAAAAGTGACAAATTCGTACACAATAAAAATAGAACCATATAGAGGATCAGAAGAACTCAGGACTATCCAAGGAAACCAGGAATCAAAACTGGTTCTACTAGCCAGCAAAAACTATCTCCTTACCAAAGAAAAGGTGGAAATTGGTACCAGAACCCTATTCCCTCCTTCATTATCAATCACAATACACTGTATAGAGGATTACTTGTTTTACCATACAGTACTGCCTATATTGTTTGTTCACATGTCTGTCCTAAATGAATGGAAAACATGTCAAATCTGTCAATATAAATAGGTATTACATATTACTAGCTCTAGGAAAGCAGTTAACAGGTAAAATGGACTTTTCTACTTAAATTAAATTCCTATTTTTTTAAAAAGGTGTCAAAGGCAAGGAAACTGAAAATACAAAAATTGTCTAAAAAGGGACAGATATGAAGATTAAACACACTGCTTTATTTGTAATATGTGCTACCAAGCAGCTCTTCCTGACATTTATTGTCCTCCTCCCTATACTTTAACAAATTCAGGTTTCAAATAATTTTACTTGCAGACCTGAAGAGGTAAAGTCTTATAAAATAACATTTTCCAAGTCATATCACACTTATCTGTTATTCTTACAATATCATAGGCTTCAAAGAAAAAAAAAGACACAGGAGGTGTGCAAATAAATTTCTCTTTGCCCTACACAAACTTCTATTTCAGTCAGAATGGACCAATTCACATACTATGGGATGATACAGTGGGAAGTTCTCTTAACTTTAGGGGTGTTACAAATGCAGATTATTGGACAGCTCTTCAAAATTTTGATTACATGTTTTGTACAGAACCCAGTATATTAGGCCAGGGGGTATAGCTCAGGGGTAGAGCATTTGACTGCAGACCCAGTATATTGCACTGTAAGCAATTCTAATGCAAGCACCCTAAAACACCAAATCTGAGAGACTGGGTACACTATAAAAAGAAAATTGGGGATTTAATAAAACATTATTAATAGATACTTTAAGAAATGCTCATGAGTCTTGCATCATGTTCAATCTTTAATCTTCAGATAACTTTACGGGGTAGGCACTAATATTACCATCCTTCAAATAGAAAAACAAAGTTTGAAGAGGTTAAGAAAGCTGCCCAAGTCACAGAGCTGTTAAGTGACAGAGCTGAAACAAACTCACATCTCTTTAACTCCCCCACACTCTCATCCATTATAAAAATATGCCTTTTGGTAGGGATACATGTAGTTATAATTTGCCTCCTTTGCTCTACTGCCTTGACCCTAAAACTGGGCCTGTACCATATCATTTCATGGGACTTCTATAAATTCTATAGAATTTAAATTCTGTATTTAATAACATTTCTTTTGGCTTCCCTGTTTTCTCTTCCCTCTTCCAATCTATTCTATTCTGTGCATAAATGAAAGATTACTATCCCTAAAATTTGACATTCAGTCATTTCATTAATGTCATTCCTCTGTAATCTCTTCAAGCTATATTTCTTTATCACTTACCTTCCCTACCCCAAATACAACAATTGGTCTCACAGTATTATTATATATTATAATCTCTTGTAATTTGCCTTTAGACTTTAACAAAATTAAAACTCAATTTAGGTGTTTAAAAGGAAGAAAAATTGTTGATGAAGGTAATTAATAGTTCAAATAGTATCAGTTAAGTAGGATATCTTTTAAAGTAGGAAAAAAAAATGATCTAACTCACCTGTAACATACCAACAATCTCTACCTTATTGAAGAAGATAAAGGAGTGAAGTGTTGATAACATGTTTTCTTCAAAGACTGAAGGGGTGGGTAGAACCATATCTTGTATATACTGAACTCTGTATGTCTGATGAATTTTTTGTTTAAGTTCAGGATCTGATATTGGAATCACTTCTTTAAACTTGGCTGTTTTGGTTAAAAATTCCCTGTGTTTTCGTGGTTGTGATAAAGCAGGGTCATATTCTAAACACCCAATGACGTCCATTATACATTCCTCAGAGAACATAACTTCGAAAAGAGCAGTTCGATTCAAGAGGAAGATGCCTTTGATAATTTCATACAAGTGGTGTAGTCCTTCAATATTTTCCAAATCCTCACACACATGAAAAAGCTCTAAGAGCTTTTTAATATAACCCTCATTTTCCAGTGCTAGTGCAAGTTTTTCACGGCGAAGGGGGGAAGGTAAAGATGATGCCACAAGTTCTGCAATTTCCTCAAGGCGACTTAATTCACAAGATGGCAATTCTAAACCAGGTGATGACATATCATCAAAACGCTCCTCTTCAGATTCATCCACAAGGTCTTGAGTGATGTCCACTGAAGGGTCCTTTCCTTGAACCTATGAAAAACAATTTGTGATAGCTGACAAAATATAAACCAGCAAACCTAAACAGTATGCTTAGATGAATACATGAAATGTTATAAGAGATGCTATAAGGAAACTATAATGCTAATTTTCAAGTTTAAGAATCTTTTTTCAAACTTGACACAATTGCCAATTTTTCTAAATTAACATATACTTTCAATTTTAAGGAAGTTAGTTTAAAGTTCAGAGATGGACTGAGCTTCCTTATAAAGTACAAGGTTTGCCAGCAAAAGCAACTTTCTAGGACAGGCTAAACTAAGTGAGACTGTGATGAAAGAGTTTCCTGCAGACCCACAACATAGAAAGCTGATGCTAAAACATCCACACACATCTCATATCCATGGCCCTCTTTTCCAACTGACCAGGGCAAGTCTTGAACATTTCTAGAACTGTGCTATGGGATAGCTACCACCAATCTCTTCAATATTTAAGTAAAATTCAAATAAATACCAAATATCATAACACTGTTATCACAGAAAATATATATAATTGTAAGCAACAAGGAAAATTACTTAATGTCAATTGATTCTAGAAACCCAGGGCCAGAGTCTGAACAAACTGGCTTTGGACCAAACTGAGTCATTGATTTGCTATAAATGTTGGATGGTAGCTCAAAAATATAATTAACAAAAACTGGATAGGACACAAAAATGAAGCTATGTACAAAGTAAGTGCAATCAACATGTGGTAGACTATCCTCCAAGAATATCTGCTGAAAGTTAAGTATCACAACCATGGAAAAGTTCTTCTCTCTACACACCCAAACCTGTAGCCTTCATCATCCCTAGAAGCCCTAAAATCTATCAAAAACCCCAACTTTATGTCAATGTAGGGGCTCTGATTACAAAAAATTAACTTAGAAGTGTTCACAATTAAATACATTTCTATGATAAAAGCATGTTTTTATAAAAGGTCAAGGACAGATTTAAAAATAAAACAAATTTTGCTATCTTGGCCCTAGAATTTGGGACACTGACCACTAACACAGCCCAACAGGCCAAGTAGAATGCTAAAGGGATGGAAAAATTAGACCTTATATGAAATAGCCAAGAAACTTAAATTGCTTAGCATGGTTAAGATACTGTTGATGAAAACTGGAAGGAAAAATGGCCTGGAATATTTATCTGGAAATATGCTCTAAGATGATATGGTCTTGTCTTCAACCCAGTGGGCAGCACTACTGAGAACAAGGCTAGGCACATTCACAGCTTGTATCTGGCATGGTGTCAAGTTGGCTCTGAATTTGTTAATTATGTAAGTTCTCATTATAGCTTTAGGTTCCTAATACCCAAGCTATGGCTTTACCCACAGAAAAATGTTAGATTTCTTCCCCCTTTTGTCTTATTGTGGTAAAACATATATAACATGAGGATTGCCAGTTTAAGCATTTTAAATATAGAATTGCATGGAATTACATTCACGATGCTGTGTGACTACTACCTCTAACAAGAATGATAGGTTTTGATTAATAAACCAAATGGAAATGGATGAGAGCTCTTACTATAATGAGAATGCTATCTTCTTGGGTTCAGACATTAATAACTATCAAGGAGGGCACTAAAAAAATGGGGAGATTTTTAGCTATTTCTAGGTCAGAAATGGTGAATAGGGTTCAAGAAATAAGAGGAACATATAAGATCTCAGAAAATAAAATGTAATGACTTCCACAGAATGAGCCGGGATCCAGAAAATGATTGAGAAGTGCAGACAGAATCCATAAACGAGTGATTAAGAAATGATATCTTTAGCATAAACTAAATAACAGGTGGAGGGAAGGACCATAAAAGAACGTAAAACAGCCACAATTCCTAGGTAATTTATTATAGAGAAAGCCTTCATATACTACTATCTGTGGCCTAAGTGAAAACGACTGAAAAATTTATGGCATTAAAGAGCAAGGAAAGGTAAACATCAGACAATGTTAAAGGAGAGTCAGGCATGACAGTTACAGATTGAGTCCAGGTTTGAGTTAAATACTGGCCTCGTAGAAGACTGTATCTGGGGTGGGACTGTTCAACCCAGAAAGATGAAGAACAAAATTTGTCTGAATAATGGACACTTTTAGTACAGCCTGAACTCGTTAATTTCATCTCTCTTTGTGGAGAACTTTTTTCTTTCTTTCCTTTTTTTTTTTTGCAGCTGGCTGGTTTGGGAATCCAAACCTGTGACCTTAGGGTTATAAGGCTGTGCTCTAACCAACTGAACTAACCGGCTAGCCCTGTGGAGAATCTTTTAAGACAAAATCTAGAGGAATACGCTATAAAAACAACTGTTGGACAGAAAGCATAGAAAAAGTGAAAAGAAAGAAGGCATTCAGATATAATTGTTAGTCTTTCATGTCTTAGAGAAAGAAAGGGACAGCTTAACAGGCAGGTTAATTTACAAAAAACACAGCTGAGTAGAACATATGGTAGAAAGAAATTCTACAAGTTAAGGAACAACTGTGCCTCAAGGACACTGTAGCTTCTATTAAGGCTATGGCTCCCAAACTCCCAGGGTACATCAAAATCACCAAAAACAGGAGCTGACACACTACAGCCAAATTTGGCTTACCACCTGTTTTTTGTAAACAAAAGTTTTACTAGAAGACTGCCAACACCCAGTCATTTATGTTCTGTCCATGGCTACTTTCAAATTAGAACAGAAGAACTGAACAACTGTGAGACTGTACAGCCTGTAAAGCCTAAAGTATTTACTATTTTATCCTTTATACAGGAAGTCTGACCTAGAAGGCTTGTTAAGACATAACTGCTGGAACCTACTCACAGAATTTCTGATGCAGAAGGTTTAGGGTAGGGGTTTCAGAATTTGCATTTCTATCAGTTCCCAGGTCATGCTCTTGCCACTGGTCTGGAGACCACACTTTGAGAACCAATGACTTAAGAAATGCACTAAAGATTACTCTCCAGCTAAAATAAATGTGGAGATAGGGAAGGTTTCTCATCAGTACCCGGGTAGGTTTTATTTCAAGAGCAACAAGAATTTACTGAACAAAGTGTGATGTGATTAGACACGCATGTTAAAAAAAGATCACTCTAGCTGCAATGTGAATTTGAGACAACCAGTCAAGATGAAATTAATAAGGCAAGAAATGATGGTAGCTTAGAAAACTATGATAGTGGTGTAAATGAAGATAGATGAATGGACCTAAGATTTATTATTGAGGGACTAAATGAATATAAGGGATGAAGGAAGGGTAAATGTGACCCACAAGTTTCTGATTTCATCAACTAGATAGCATTTATTGAGATGAGAAAGTTGGAAGAAAGAATAGATCCAGGCGAGAAGACTGTTTGGTTTTGGACTATATCAAGTTTGAGCTGCTAGTGAACATTGAAAGAGGAGCTCTCAAGAAGGCAGTCAGATATAAAACTCTGGAGGAGTTCAGCAAAGGTCAGGGTTGGACAGTTTGGTGCCAATAAATTATACCTTCCTTTAAATCAAGCTTTTCACAGACAGCAGTGAATTTAAACAATCTATTTGTAATTTATTTAAATTCTTAGGTATTAGTTGAAAGCATGGCAAAAAAGCCCAAAATACTTAAACAGGGCGTGTTGGTTTTCTATTTTTACAATTACCTGACATATTTTCTCCCAAATTTCATCACATCCAGCCTTTTCTTGAAAGCTAAGGGCCAAGTCATAATTTTCTGCTTCAGACCATACAATCAGAGTGTCCTTTGGAGAAAAAAAAGGAGTCTGATGATTAATACACATTATCATAAACTACTTCAATGTGTAAGACAAATGAACAAAGCAACAGGAATTAAGACCAGCCCTCATTTTTACCTTTTGCAACACTGATATTGATAATTACCAATGCCTTTTTACACTTCACTTTGCCCAATCCATAAAATGAAAACAAAGTTTTCCTTGAGGACAAGTTTAACCAATATATGAAAAAGCAGCACAAAATGAGTACATAATCTTTATGTACTAAAAGATACAAATGAAACATTATGTCAATCCTTTCTTGAACATTAAGTTACATTTAATGCTCTCATCAAAATGCCCAAGAGAAAGTCTGTGCATATAATAACTAGTGCATGTTAGAAGGATGGGATTAATAAACAAAACTCCTTCTCTCTTCCCTCTACTGTCAACCAGGTGTTCTTTATCTGGGGCTTTTGAGGTCCATGAATCCCTGGAAATTATTCACTAAATTTGTAATATGTGAGCATTTATCTGAACAGAGGTTTTTTTGTTGTTTTTTAACTTTCACTAAAGTGCTGTGGTTCAAGAAGCAGCACACTCCTAGCACCTACCACCCCTTCATTCCTATTCAGACAGAACTTCCAAGATATCCTTTCAAATTTACTGACTGTAAATAAATATATATACTATTTCATAGCAATCAACCATTTCAAAGAAGGGCCCTCTCTTTGAGAGGGGTCTATGAATAACTGCATACAAGAAATGTTAATGGTACTACAGTTATGTTTAAAAACAAAGCCTAAGGGGAAACACAACGGCTGTCTTTAAAATCTAAAAGGCTATCACTCAGCATTTTTTAAAGCTGGTCCAAAGAGAAGAATTTAGGAGGGTGGAAGTTAGAGTTAGATGGATTTGAGTACAATATAAAGAAAAAAATCAATCTGACTAATAAGTAACCGAAAGGAGCCAGGCAAAGGCTTGCTGAGCATCCATCAGTATGATAAAGGTTCCTCTATCAGAGGAAAAACATGACTAGATTATCTCTAAGGTACCTTAAAGGACCTGTGGTTCTACTATAGCTGTTTCTAATCCTTTTCACTAGCATGAATACTTTTTTTTTTTTTTTGCAAGGACAATTTTTACTGCACACAAATGGATCCCATGTTTAAAAATTTATCTGCTTAACTACATATTAACTCTTTTCAGTCACTTACATAACTGTTAATCATGAGGCCAACCAGTAGCCTCTCACTGAAGTGATGTCAGCCATAAATAAATAAATGATAATTTTATTAGGCTGTGCGGCCTCACTAATAGGATAACTTCACAATTTTTATTCAGAATTTTTGAAAACAGCTCAAAGTCCTTTTTTTACTATCTTCAAAGACTTTCAGAGATCACAGATCCAAGGGAGGCAATCTGATGCATAGTGACTGAGTAGCTGTTCAAGCTCAAAATAATTTATGTTAACATTCTAAGACTGAAAACTAGAAATTAGTCATGTGTCATTTTTAGTTTACCTTATAATTCACCAAAGCAAAACAACTGGTTGGAAAATTTGCAATTAATCTGGCAGCCTGAATACTTCACAAGGTTATTTGTTCAGCAGATGTTTATTGAGCACTTATATATAAGGTTTCACTTGAGACAAAATTATAGTTGTTACTTTCCCTCAAAAACAGTATGGAATAAAAATACTAAGAGATTTAAGAGGCAAAGAAGGCAAGGTGTGAATTCTAATACCACTATCTACTTGGTGGGTGATGCTGAGAAAATTAGGTAACGTCCTCGAGCCTTGGTTTCCTCATCTTTAAAATCGGAATAATATATGCTTATGAAAATTAGTGATAATATAAGTATCATTTCCTGGTGATAGGAATAAGGTTGGGGAAGAATATCACTGGGGGGAAGGGGACAGCACAAGTTGCCTAAATTAGATGGTTCCTAAAATTCTGATAAATATTTATACATATCAGCTCAAGAGCCATTAGAATATGCCTAAAGCCAATATCACATTAGTAATAAGATGGATTTAATACAACTGTAAGCAACTGGTCTGCTACAATGTATATTCAAAATTATTTGAAGGCTGATGCTTAAATCAGGGTATAGCCAGACATATGCTCTTAATTACCCATCTGGAAAATTTCACAAGTCTGAAAAATTTTAGAAATTGCTCTTCTGTTTTCCTTGAAGAGTCTGTGATTTTGCTCTTCAGCTCACTAAAACCTCGAAACATCAATTTAATGAAATTACATATGGAACATCAAAGCCAAATATTCTAGTTTCCAGCTATTTCAAACAAACCTAAAAGTTTTCTTAAGAACACTAAATGTAGGGCCGGCCCGGTGGCGCACTGCTACAGTGCGCCGCTTGGGAGCGTGGCAGCGCTCCCGCTGAGGGTTCGGATCCCACATACAGACTGGTTCCCGCTCACTGGCTGAGCGAGGGGTGGGCGCAGCACCGAGGGTTGCGATCCCGGTCCGGTGCGGGCGCAACACTGAGGGTTGTGG